AGATTACTTTATTTACATTTTTTTTTTTTTAAACATCATAGCATAATAAAGTACTGAGATAAGGGGGTGTTTATTCACTGGATCTCCAAACGATGAAAAACTAATGAAGGAACAAGTGTTCCCTTACTGGTTTTTTTTCTAAGTTAATGAAAATAAAAGATGAACTTTAATTTTCTTGTACCTTTAGTGATGTTCCGCATCGAAAGTATGCTAACAATACGAAAAACAACTTCTAATCACTGAGGGAACAGGCATGTTCCTGTACTGGACACAGATTTCCAGTGAATGAACAGTATGTGTTAATATGTTGACACTCTAATTTTCAATTCATGATTACAAAAAAAAGTTAACATTTTCCAAGTATTTATATGTTATAATTACAAGAATAGGCTTGTTTTTAAGTAATTGTATGGCTTATAAATTCATAAAGAGCATTAAAAAATAACCAAAATTAAGTGTTCCTTTACTGGGTGTTCATTCACTGGTAAGAGCTGTTCCTTCACTTGGTCTTCTTACTACTTGTTATTTGAACCTCCAAAACTTCAAAACAATATTATGTAAGTTCTCTACAATTTTTTTTACGTAATTTACAGTTTTTATCAACAGTTATTTACCAACATATTTAGAAAATAAGTTTGAAAATATGTTTGAAAATATGTTTTTTTTACAGTTATTTACCAAGTAACAAATATGTTGACACTGTCGTTTAAGTAAAATTACGAATTTTGAAATTTATGTGATTTTTTAAAAGGCAAGCGAAGCTTAAGTGTTCCTTCACTGGTTAGTTTACCCTCTAGTCCTTATTATCTAAAAAAATACCCTTATTTGTCTAGAAATATTTATAGTAAAGATTTTTATTTTATAATTTAGCCAAAAAAGGAAATTCGAGAGCATATGTGACGATATCATCGTCATATTTTCTGGCAAACAATTTGTGAAATTTTTATTATTGTTATCCCCGTATTTTTTTTTTAAATCCTTTTTTTTTCTTTTTTTTTTGAAATCGTTTTTATTTGAGAGAATGGGGGTCATATTTTCCGAAAATACTGTTTTATTTCCCAAAATATTTTAGAACAGTTTTTAAGAAATTAACTTGAGTTCAAAATATGCCAAACCGAAAACATAGATTGGTCTAACAAAGCAATTTTTTAAACATGTTTTAATACTTGTGGAATGTGCTTAGAAGTCAATGTTTTAGAACACCATAACAAAACATTTTTATATGGCGTTACGTTACTAAGTAAGCTAAATTTTATTAATTAAGTCTGGTTATTTCTCAACTTCTAGAGAACAGTTACTTGATTTCTGTATT